CCCCCCCCCCCCAGCAGCTGTCATTCGTGGCAAGGACAAGTAAGTGCAAGTGCCGAGCACCCAGCAGGATGCAGCGCACCCTTCATGCGACTCGACGAATACCTCACGGCGCTTCGCGCTTGGTAATGTGAGAGCCTGGTCCGCTGAGAATTCGGCCTGCTCGGTCCCGGCTTTGTAGGGATGCGAGGTCAATGGCCAAACGACTGTGGCATGCACGACTATGAGTATCCCCCCCCCCTCCCCAGCACTGAGTGCCAACAACCCCCCCACCTACCCCTCCGCGCTGCCGCGCGCCCGAGTGTGCGCGTGTCCCCATGACGAGCTGGAACAAGCGGTGGTTCGCCTCGAAAGGTGTGCGCGGCCAACGGCCAATTGGCTGAGACGATTTACCACCCCCACGCGCGCCTGCCCCTCCCCGCCCGTCGCGGTGCCGCTCGTCCCACACCCATAAAAGTGTTCTGTATGCGGGGAGCGTTTCGCGGCATTGCGGAGGCGCCACCACTGCCGCTGCTGCGGCGAGGTTGTGTGCGCTACCTGTTCCCCGACCAAGTGAGCGCAACACTGCACTGGACGGGGCCTTATTCGCACCGTTTTTTGAACACCCTTCTTGGTGCTTCCCTAATGGTGCAGGACCGGAAGTGTTCTGATTGGCCACGCCGAACATGCAAGCAGTAAAGAAAGGTGGCGACTACCTTGCACTAGTCAGCGTGCGAGGGGTAGCTATTTTGCCGTCCGCTTTGGACAAGGTGGACCAAGGAGGAAACTCACGTGTACGTGCACACCCACATGTCTGCTCACGTATTTTTTGCTATCTTGCTCTCTCTCTTTTTTTGTCACGCTCACATATATTTTTTGCTTTGCTCAATCTCACGTGTACGCACACGCCTACGTGCCTCCTTTGTTTGCTCACGTATTGTTTCTATCTTGCTCCCGTTTTTATTTTGTCACGCTTACATTGTTGCTTTGCTTACTCGCAAAAACATGTTAATCTCCCAAAAGACTCCTCATTCACGTTTCCGAGCCGGGCTACGAGCGGCCCCGCCGCGCCTGCCAGACCTGCGCGGCACACATCGCCGCCGGCGAATACTCCTGCAACGCGCGCTACGCCCTGGCAATCGCCACTCCAGGCGCCGACACGTACCACAAGCAGGCCGCCGTGCGGCACCTCTCTGCCGCGATGGAGGACGCGGCGAAAAAAACGGTGCAGTCTGGAGGAGGTGGGAGTGGGGGCGACGGCGGCGGGGGGGGGGTCCGCGGCCCCCTGTCGGCCATCCAGAGGGTACACGGCGGAACCCCCGCGGTGTTCGAGGCGCTCGTTCCGATGATGTCCACGGAGGTACGAATGCGTGGTAGACACGCACGGCCGGGGGGCAGGAGGGGCCGAAAACCTCTTTTTTACTCGCTGAGCTTGACCATGTGTGGATGTTGTAGCAGAAGCATTGCTCTTGCGCAACCGGTGTGCGTAGCATATCGAAGTGTTTTACCGTGTGGTGGGTTATGACGGGGAAGGCCATTATAGAATAGCATAACCGTTGTTTGCTCGGTGGAGAAGAAGTCCGGGGCATGAGGTGTGCCGGCCGGGAGCACGAAAGCCTCCCTTCCCCGCCCCCCCGGTCGCCCGAAAAAGAATCTCTCCAATGCGGGCGTACGCCACGATGCCCACGCTGGGTGCCCCGTTGCTTCCTCCTCCCCCCACTCACCCCCCCTCTACTGCTCCCATCGACCGGCGCCGCTTCCACACACACACACGCGCCCTCCTTATCCCTCCCGCCCAGGTCCCCTTGGACGTTTGTACGCACGCCTGCCAGCTGCTGGGGGCCTCTCTTTTCGTGGCGTCCAGGCAATCGTCGCCGAAAACCTGGGTAGACCTGGTGAAGGTCATCCCCGAGGGGGGCGTGGACGGCCTCCTGGAGTGCCTGCGCGTGGCTCCGGCGAGGGCGAAGGCGGCGCGAGCCCTGTTCTACGCCGCCAAGGTCCCGCTGGCCGGCGGGACCGGGGGAGAGCTCATCGAGTCTAGGGGCGGAGTGTCGGTGAGTTTAGTTTCTCATTGATTCTCTCTATCGTTTTTCTCTGTCTTTGTCTCTCTGCCTTCTCTCTCTCTGTCTCTGACCCGGCGTCCCGGCGTCCGTCGTGGATGTCTTTAAACATCGAAACCAGCTTCATACCAATTTACGACATCCGATGAGCTGTTGCTACTACCGCTGCCCCTGCTCTTTTGCATGCTAACAGCCCGCGTGCTTGAAGCTCATCCCCCCCCCCCCCCCCCCCCCCCCCCCCCCCCCCCCCCCCCCCCCCCCCCCCCCCCCCCCCCCCCCCCCCCCCCCCCCCCCCCCCCCCCCC